CGGGAGACAAGCAGCGGCCGCAGGACCATGCTGCTCCACATCCACATGCAGTGCACACTGCAGCTCACCGAGCAGCGGTGAGAGGTTCATTATAATGTTTTGCCCCAATGAGTGTTGGAACTATCACTCTGATGGGGCGTGTGTCGATAAGGAAAAACTACAAACAGTTGCTTCATGCTTTCACTCTCCGCTTTTTTCTTCCCGTTGTTCTCTTACTCCCAGTGGGTTCTTCCAAGCATATTCTGCGCCTTGGATCCTTGAATTTCTTGACGTACGGAAAAGCTTCGTGCCACAGTGAGAAATGACGCACATTCGAATCAAGTCAGGCGAGTGATCTTCGATATTCCGGGCTTATATCCGTCACGAAATTGTTAATTGCCGTCTTTGAAGGCAAGTTCACCAGGGGAGCTCAGCATCAGGTGCTGTTAGATATTGCTGGACTGTGCAGTACTGTTGCCAGTGCTGACGGCCATAAACATATTAGACAACAATGGTTTTTACTTCTATGTGAATTAGCTGATTAATGCCGCCCGCCTGGATCTTTCATTATTCAGAAGGCGGCAAGAAGAAGCATCGAAAAAAGAAGAGCGTCCCTCCTGCTAAGCTAGCGTACACGGTGTATAGCCCCCTTTTCGACTCTTAAACTTGCCTACGTACATTTTGAGTATATTGTAAACCTTGAGGTCTAGCTTAATTCAGAAGCCTTGCCTTCGGAATCGTTCGAGCCAGCAGGTCACCATCCGCTGTCCCCAAGTCATCATGGCCTTACGCGATCCCGCTCACGAGCAGCTTCTTCTTTTAAATCTATAGCTTTGCAGTGCCTTTCTTTAAGACAAATTTTCCCCGAAGTTTTCCTAATAAGAATAGTTCTTTTACCGATTTCTGTCGTCTTACTTTGGATGGCCTGTGCGCGGCGTGCCTGGACCGCTGGTGACCCCTCGGGATCTGCTCTGCGGTTGTTATTTTTAAGGAAGAAGCGCAGTAATTAGACACTGTAACTTTTTTCAAAGGATTAGAGATGCACCGGGGCAGTCGAAGTGAGCTCCCCGGCGACTGAATGCTGGGATCGATTTGTCATGGAGCCCCAGCTACCTGAGCACACACGGCCCACAGTCGTTCCCATTAAATCCCCCATGTTCCCAATCTGTGTTTTCTTAGCCATTACTCCCTTCATGTTTACTTTATTTGGCTCCATGTGCTGTCATTTATTCCACAATAGGCTTGCCTCCAATGAGTCGCCTGGGTCTGTTAGCTTGCTACGCTGGCCTCCTCGCCAGCGCGACCACACCACACTTGTCATCGGCGCTCTCCTTTCGTGCTGCTACAGAAGATTCTCAGAAAAACAGCCTCAGCACAAAATTAGTTGTGTCTAGCCAAGAGACGCCACAGGCGGCTCCTACAGCCAACGACAAAACTGGAGGTGAACTACACAGGTGAACAAATGAATGGCTCTACGCTAGTCCAAGCCACAGTGGGTATATTTGGACAGACGGATATGATGCTTGCATATATCTCCAAAGACTTCAGTTCAATTCAAGCGCAAGTGCCCTCCTTGATAGATTGCGATCAGGTAGCACTTCAACACAGGAGTACCCGTGTACTCATAGCGGCTGCTGGGTTGTTCCAGTCGAGCCAAATGCAACGATATAACCGCATTTCCATTAAGATTTCCTTGAATTGGCATTTTCAGAGTGCTTGACGATCATAAACACTCTAAGAACGGAAAATCTTAGGGGCCTGCTTAATACCCTCGCCACGGCAAATGACAGTGACTCAAAGTCTGAAGAAAATCCAACAGCGCGAACAGGAAAACCCAACTGCTCAAACAATTGCTGTAGAGCTTGTGGGTACTCAGGGAGCTACACGTGATTTGGGCGGAAGCGCGAATGCGAAAAAGGTATGGCTCTTAGTCGTCTAGTATCGACTGTAGTTCGACTGTAGTTCAGCGCTGGCTTCTCTTAGCAGTACTTCTTCTCGGTACTTCTCTGCTGAAGTGATAAAATGCCACAAGGGAATTTGTTTTATGTGCATTGAGAGGGCTTCTGGAGTGGTGGTTGTGGTGTTGCTGCAGTATCCCGGACTCGTAATTCTGTTCGCACACGACACCAATTTCGACTGTAACGCTTTGATACAGGCAACTTACACAGCCGGGTAGACCCATCTCAAGCAGTCCGCTCTTTTTTTCAGTTTCCTTTGGCCGTCACTGCAGTATCTGTGTCTTTTAGTTTATGCCGGTACCTGTGCTTACTCGAGCATGCACAAGGTAGCTATCACCCCGCCTGCCTCCCTCTTAGGTCCAGAGTTTTTTTCAGGTCAGCGGTTCCTGCGCGAAGCCCTTAATGGTACTCGTCTCAGTGCTGAGGCGTCTTCTATTTTTAGCTATTCTGCGTTGATTCCTGTTTGTCGCTTTCACGTCGCAGGTCGAACTTTGACCCATCGTCAGGAACATATGAAATGACAAAAGCTCCATTTGAGAATGTAGCGGCCAGCAATGTGCCGTTTTTGATGTCAAGCAGTCTCATGTGCCGCCACCGAAGACTGCAAAGCAGGCCATGATGTTTTATTTTGCTACTTTATAGATCCACTCCAAAGTGGAGATGCGCCTTTCACGTACCTGTTGTACTAACCACGTGACTAGCCGGCAGCACAGAAGGTAGAACAGGCTTATCAATGTGCAGCGAAAACAGAGAATAACACTTTGCACGTTGGGGGTTGGAAAGCGCAGGAAATGTAATTGCCGTTTGTGGCTCGCAGAACTGAGCTTTACAGTGCTCTCTTGGAAGTGGAGACAGGTGCGGCGTACATCTCGGCTCCCAAAGCTGCCACCGCTCTTTTGGCACTCACCTTCACTGTTCTCACTGAAAGTTGACGAACAAACTTCAGAGCAGCTACTGGGGATATTATATTTGTGTAAGTTCTGTAGAAAGACAGTATTGAGTCATTTAGAGGTTGGCCTCTGAGCTCCACTGCTACGCATTGCAAGTCGCTGATGGGGAGGAGCTTCGGCCAAGTTTGCCCTACGCGGACTACCGAGTGTCACCATGATCTTTCAGTTTACAGCGCACTGCGCTTATCTGTGTGAAAACATTGAAGTTATTGCTCATTATGTAGCCTGGCTGGGCTCGCCGTGTCTCTGGACTTCACTGCCAAACGCTCCTTCTGAAATGTATTTTGACTCAAGAACGGGCAAAGCCCCGTCCAAGCATTCTATTAAAATTCGAGACTCCATTTATTTAAAGCACCTAATCGGCTAGTCGAGCTGCTGCGACATTTGCCACCCCAGAGTGCCTCGTCTACACACCTGACAAGGCCGCTAGCTGCACGGAGATGGAAGTTCCAATAACGTTATACAGAATCCGGTCCAATTCTGTATTTTCTTCTGGAGTGTGCTGCCCAGTTGCGAGACGAAGAGAGCACGCTGACTACTGGACTTTGCCAAAGAACAGGGGTGAATCGAGCACTTCGAGACTATTTGACCTGAGAGGGCTGGGAGAATCTCGTAAATTTTGACCTTCAGGCACAGACTTCGTACAATAAATGATTAATATATAGCATTCGTTTGGCACTCCCCCAAAGTTGAGTTTCGCCTGTTCTAGGTTTGGTGCTGGCTCGCCGGCATGTCAATAGGCTTACTCGTTGTGCCCAATGGCTCTTGTAGCACGCTCAGAGGTCCGTTGCTTCATTACACTCAAGTAGAGAGTCACAAATGCAAAGATAGCCTAACTTTTCCTGTTTAGAGCATTCTCATTGGCCATATTCCTCAGCAAACGCTTAAGGCAGTCAAATAGACCTCTACTAAGAAGTACATGCGGGAGAGTGGCATTCAGCCGATCAGTGATGAACGTTCAAAACGAAGCCACTTACTCCCTATGCAATTTTATTTAGAGAGGTTTCAAGTATTTATTGCTCTAGTAGTGTGCGTTTAGTACTGGCACCGCCACACAGCCAGCATTCAGGGCTAGAGTAAGAAACGAGGCATGTGCAGACCAGGCAACTTAGTACTACTGGCATTGCTAAGCTTGTCACCGACTCTAAAATGATAATTGAGGACTTTTGGAAAATTCATTTATGTAGCACAACGTCCGATGGCGCCACCAGCTGTTCGGAGTGTTGGATGCTTTTGCAGTGGCAACGGCCAGGGTGGTTCGCAGACAGAAACAAAAAAGCCGATTCGAAATAGTCCTAATCAGCATCACTAAATATGCACATATCTTCTTTACTGATAGACAGGGAAATGCTAGCGGGAAAAGTTCTGGTATTCTCTGACCGGGAATTAAACCTGAAAGTAGCAAAGGTAACCCGGGCATTCAAGCACGTTAGTGTACACGACGTGTGGCTATTCTTTTGACTCTGTAGGCAGCCAGCGTACATTTGATCTGCATGGCTCAGCTAAATTCAGAAGCTCTGTCGTCAGAACTTTGTGAGGATGCAGGTTACAATCCGCTCACATCTCAACCGAACCTCGTTATCACGCATAACAGCTTATTTCTCCTCAATGGATTCGAAATACCTTCCTGCACGGCTTAAATTAAACTTTTAATTTCTGATAAGTCGACCTATCCCCTGCGCAAATTTTCTCCCCTCTACTGCGGATGGTGTATCGACAGTGTGGCTTCGCCTTGGGTGATTCCGGGATCTGCCTCAGTCAGCCGGCAAGGACATCTGTAAAACAAAAGAAATACGGTATAGCATACTGATGAGACACTAGAGTTGTGATAATACGCTAGAGTGTTGAAAATTTCTGAGGTCTGAAAAAGTTCTGGAGCTTCTGAAGCAAATTCCTCTGCGACTGGATGTTGAGATCGAGGCATCGCAGATGTCACCACTGCTTCCAATCCTGGGCTCCACTATTTGTCAAGCACACAAATAATCCCATAACCGCTGAGATCAGACCCTACACGGCTTCGTTCTCTGCTTTTTCCTCTCCTCTCTTTTCGTGCTCACTTCGTTTGGTTTTATGTGTTGTCACTTACTTTGTGACAAACCTACGTTTCCCCACAATGACCTACGTTGGGTTGTTTGCGTGCTATGCTGGCATGTTGGCAAGTGTAGTCATACCGAACTGCTCTTTGGCGCTTTCCCTGTGCTCTACCACAGAAGTTTCTCAGGATAGCCGCCTCGGTTCAACATTATTTGTGTCCGTGCAGCAAACACCGCCCACAGCTGACGACAAAACTGATGGTGAACCATGAATGAGAGTGCCAAGTGAACGGTGCCGAGCTACCCCCAGGCATTGTTCGATTTGTGGGGGTATGCGAGCCAACAGCGGTATTGCTTGCACATTACAGTCGCAGCCACGCATATCAGAGCAGTCTACCTACGAAAGTTTTCAGTGAATGATATTTCGACAGCGCTTCAATGCACATCTTCCTGTGCAATCCTCAAACGGCTACTGGATGGACCAGTGAAAGCGACTGCAGCGATAGGACCGTTTCGTTGCTAAATTCGTTTTCAGAATGCCTGACCATCATAAACGACATGAGGACGCAAACCGCCAAAGGCCTGTTAGAAGCCCTCACTAAGGCGCAAGATGGCGAGGTGACCGAAAGCCTGAAAAGTATAAAAAAAGAGGAAGTGCAAGGTGCTACTGCCAAAACGATTGCAGCAAAGCTAGGGGGCACGGACGCAGCTACATGTGAATTCGCTGCAAGCGCAAACGCGCAAACGGTATGGCTTCAAGTATGAGTAACGAAGTAGCATTAGCTGCGTTCAGCATTCGCTGTCGGCTAAACTGATAGACATCTGCAAGAAAAAGGAAAAAAATGTCACTTTTATGGGCTTATTCCAGGGATTTCAGACACGATTGCTCTCGTGTTCCTTTGCAGTATCCTGGACTCGTAATTCCATTCGCGTACGGCACGAAGCTCGATTGCATCTCTTTGATCCAAACGACTTACAGAGATGGTCGCGACTATCTGGAAAAGTCCGTCACTTGCTGAGCTTGTTTTCTTGGACCAGTCTTACAGCTTCTGAACCCCATAGTCTGTACGTGCGTTACTTTGTCTGCAACTTGTTCTAAAAAGTGTATCTTAGCTTTTCTGCCCTAACATGTAGTCGCTTTCGTTCTGCAGGTCCAACTTTGACCCATCAACAGGCAAAATATAATTTTACAGAGGCCCCATTTAATAATGTAGCGGCCAGCAACGTGGCATTTTTGATGTCAAGCAAAAGCAAAAAGGTCTCATGTGCAGCAACCGAAAACTGCACAGGAGGCCACAACATCTTATTCTGCTACTTCATAGATCCTCTTCAAACTGGGGATGCCCCATTTATGTAAGCTCTAGCCATCTAGATGAATACTCGACAGCACAAAACGCAGAACAAATGTAGGAATGTGCTGCAACTCACATGCATGGAATTTTAAGGATGGACTCTCCAAACGCAATAACGGTCACTGTATCGTGCCGCTTGCAGAACAGAAGTCTACAATGCTCTCTGGGGAGTGGGCAAAGGTGCGGTGTCTATCTCGGTCCCCAGCGTCTCCACTGCTCTCTTGTCCCTCGCCTTGATCATTCTGTCTTAAGCTCAAATAACAAACAGCAGAACAACTACTGGAGACGCCAAGCCTCTGCCGATTTCCTGGGAAGGCACTCCTAAGCCGTTTAGAGGCAGGTCCTTTAGCTCAAATGCCGCTTACTGCAAGTAGTTGATGAAGGCTAGCTTCGACGAAGAATGCAACAATGCTCTCCCCTCCCAACACATCTTAGTACCACTTATTTAGTTTTAACTCTATGCAATACCTACATTTTTCATGGTCAAATTCACTCCGCATTGCTTAGCCATGTGAAAACACTGCAGGTGCTGCTCACTCAGTGGTTTTAGACTTCGCAGTCCAGTGCCCTTTCTAAAATCTATTTCGACTTAAGAACGGGCAAAGCCCTGTCCTATCATCGTACTGGCAATTTGGGACTCTTGGCATCTCGAGACTTCGTTTATTGAAAGTACCCAATCGGCTGGGCGTGCGGCCGCGTCTCTCACTAGCCAGAGTGTCTCGTGCGCACACATGACAAAGCTGTTAGCTGCACAGAGACGAAAGCTCCGACAATGTTGTACAGTGAACATCGCTAGTTTGCGCCTTCTTGTAGGGCTGGCTCCTCAGTTGCGAGGCGAGGCATACACTTTGCTGCACCTGCTGCTACTTCGACCTGCAATCCTAATTTTTCTAGTACGCATTTCGCTCCGTCATCCTTGACACCAGACATTTCTTGAGTGATTATATTGTGTGCGTTCTTGCTGGCGCTATTATGCAGTGCCAGTGTGTTTCACGTTTTCGCTTTCTCTGGAACCGATCCCGAGCTCACCTAGGTTGCAAAAATCGATTATTGGCGTGGGCAAAAATGCTCTGCATTTTT